GCCATGTCATTGGCTGTGCTGTTCCACGTGGGCTGCACCCGGGGGCAACTGTCCTCCGGGGGGACTGCTGGTAAGGAGGCCGCCACGGGGAGAGGCAGGGCTGGGCAACAGCATGCATGCCCACAAAGAGGGCTCTGAGTGCTGCCTCTGGCACACATGCCATAGATTTGCCACCACTGCACTAGGGTTTTATAAAGCGGTACTAGTACTTCGTATGGTTCTGATTCTATGCCTGTTTATACAACCCAGGACTGTATTAGCTTTTTTGGCTGCTGCTGCACACTGCTGGCTCATGATCAAGTGATCGTTTACTAGGACTCCAAGGTCCCTCTCACAGGTGCTGTTTTTAAGCCAGGTCTTGCCCAATCTGTACTAGTACCTTTGATTTTTCCTGCCTAAATGTGAAACTTTGCTTTTCTCCACATTGAAACTCATTAGTTAGTCTTCTGGGGTGTTGGATACTTCTGCCAGTTTGGTATCATCTGCAAATTTGATGAGTTCCCCTTCAATTCCCTCATCTAAGTCATTGATGAAGATATTGAAGAGTACTGGACCTAGGATGGAACCTTTTGGTACTCCACTGCTTACTTCTCTTCAGGTAGATGTAGTGCTATTCAGGAGTACTTGTTGAGTTTGGTTTGCCAGCCAGCTACAGATCCATCTGGTGGTTATGTTGTCTATTACACCTTTTTCTAGCTTATCAAGTAGTAGATTGTAGTCTACTGGTCACTTTCCCCCAAGTTCTGGCAAATTCAACTCTCTCTATCACTTCTCTATTAGTAAGAATTAGGTTTAGTATAGCTTTATTTCTAGTTCCCTCCTCTACCTTTTGGATGATAAAGTTGTCGGCTAAGTTGGTTAGGGATCTGTTTGATCTCCCGCTCACTGCAAAGTTTGTCTCCCAGCTGATATCTGGGTACTGTGGTGTGCTTCCTACATACATTTGTTAACTGGTTGGCAAAGTGTTCATCTATTTTTTCTGATTGTTTGGGTGGCTTGTAGTATACACCTTTGGCAATGTCATTTTTTCCCCTTTTATATTGACCCATATACATTCTGAAGGGCTTTTATTTTTGATCATGTGCATTTCTGTTGAGATGTAGTATTCTCTTACACATAGTGCAACTCCCCCTCCTCTTTTTGTAGTTCTGTTTCTTTTGAACAATTTGTATCCATCTATCAGTCCATTCCAGTCATGGGTTTCATCCCACCAGGTTTCTGAAATGCCAAATATGTCATACCCTCCCTCATGTACTATTGCTTCTAGTTCACCCTGTTTGTTCCCCAAGCTTTGAGCATTAGTATATAAGCATTTAAGACTTTTATGCCTCTCTGGACTCCCGCTTGATTATGGAAGGGTGGCAGCCTTGCCGTTTGATCTGGGGCAGCTCTCCAAACTGGAGGGGAAAAGACTGGCCATAGCAACATGGCTTGTCATTAAGCTGCTGATAGCCAAAGTCAAAACTACTACCAAGCACCTTTAAAGCAATGCGGATGAAACTGGGTGAGATTTGATTTTCTCTTTAAGACTTTAAATATCTTTCCTGCAAAAGCTGCCCAAAGTATTTCTCCTCTTGTGAAGAGAGAGGGAAGGGAATTTTTACCCCATCCTCTAAGAACAGCAGCGACTGACTACCCAGGGGAAACAGAGCAATTACAAGAACAACTTTAATTTAATTGGATTCATATACCTTTGAAATTTGGGGATTAAAAGTTTTCCTATTCTTACTGGAGACGTTGATTTTTATCTAAAAAGGAAAGAAATAAACCTTGAAAAACTATTATTAAAACTCGGGACTTAAAAAGTTTTAAACGGCATCGGTAACATCTTGTGGATACGTATGGTACTACAACTTGTTATTGACTAAAAGAGACTTGGCTTGAAGCTGAGAATTTAGAAAAAACTCTCTCCACCTTGACAGATACCACCTGTGAAAAACCCAGCTGTAAAGAAGGAACTGCAGGGCGGCATATGTGGCTTGTTTGAACTATGAAGATAAACCTTTATTGATTATGGGAAATTGTTTTCCTATTTCTTTACATGAGAAATATCTGTTATTACACGCGATGATGGAATACTTTGGACTATAAATTCTTACTTGGCAACAATTTTCACTATAAAGACTACCTACAACACGTGAAATAGATGTCCCATAACTAGCTATAAAAACAAAAAACTATTTTTAACATTTGATTTTAAAATCTCTAATTTAATACATTATCAAGAGAATATGGATGAAGATCAGGAAAACACCCTTTTTATGTTGAAATCAATATACGAAACCATTCTTTCAGCGTGTAACAAAATAAGAGGCAACATACAGGAACAAGATATACAAACCCAGATCTTGATTACAACCAAAGAACTAACAATGCAGAAAGTAACAGGAGAAGTGGAATAACTAAATACTAAGACAGAGGACCCAACTGACCAACAGATTCAGCCAATGGGAAAATTAGAAAAGAGAGTGACAATATTGAAAATGGAAAAGACTTTTTACATAAATCAGAAGAAATTTGAGGAAAAGGAAGAAGAACAGATTGAATGGAAGATAAACTTATCAGGACAATTGTGGGAAATTGGAGTAATAGGGAGGCGATTAAATGAATACAATTGGGCTAGTTCTTCCAAAAAAACTGTAATTAAATGGTCTTTCATATTTCAAATAATACATATAATAATAGAGGGAGAACTGTTTGAGGATTCAAAGGTACTGACATGGAGGGTTAGTTGGCAAAGGAAAAAAGCCAGAGTAAGGCTGAAAGAAACTAGGGTTTTGATTTATTAATAGGGGATTCTATACTATTGTTTAGAGGGTTGAATATGGTGGAAAATAAATATTTTTTAGAAAATAAAGTAACATTATAATTGAATAGGTAAGATGTGTAAAAGATTAATAGACTTTTGGTTTAATATGGTGAAAAATAGATAATTTTTAGAAAATAGAATAAGATTATATGCAAATAGATAAGATGTGTATTTAGAATATTAGATTTTGTTATAAAAAGGGGGAAACGTAGAAGTTGAGATAAAGGAAACTCTGGTCACCTAAAGCTTGGAAATTAAAACATACCAAATGTTAAGTTTTTATTTATTTATTTATTTATGAGACTTATATACTGCTTTAAGTGCAAGCACTCTCTAAGCGGTGTATACCAGTAAGCAATGTATATATATTTTACATTGCCCCCAACAATCTGGGTCCTCATTTTACCTACCTCGGAAGGATGAAAGGCTGAGTCAACCTTGAGCCGGTGAGATTTGAACCGCTGACCTGCTGAACACAGTCAGCTAAAGTGACCTGCAGTACTGCACTCTAACTGCTGCACCACCTCAGCTATTGAATACTGAGGGGAAATTAAAGCAATAACAGGATATTGATTGTATATAAATATTGAATGCAAACACAATTAAGATATGCATAAGTTAAAAATTATTGATAAATGTAACAAAGAGGGTTTTACTTAGTGGATAACAATAGAACTATATTAGTTCAATATGAGATAGTAGATATTAAGGGAAAAAGAGAGGAAATATCTGATGATGTAACTTGAGATTAGTGCTAAAGATTTATGTATGTTATGGAATTATTAATTACCCAATCACCACGTTGCTTTTTAAATGTTTAATTAGAAAGCTAATAAAATATTATATAAAAAAAGACTTTTATGCCTATCTGCGGATATGTTTCCTGGATCTCCTGATTGTCATTTGAGTTTTTCTTTTTTCTCATCACTCCCTACCTCATTGTTTGATTTGTTTTCTTGGGATTTATGGTTGGTTTTGGGTTCTAGAGCTTCTAAAGATTGGTCACCCTTCCCCCTCAATTTTAGTTTAAAGCCCTCCTAATGAGTTGGGCCAGTCTTTTTCTGAGTATTTTTCCCTCTTTTCATGAGGTGCACACCTCCCTGGATTGTATGATCTGTCTGCAGATGGCTGATTCTGGTTCCAGAATTATTATTATCCGACTCTGGGTGGCTCAGAAATAAAAATGTTTTCAAAAACTACAATAATAGATAAAAATAAAAAAAAATCATAAAAGTTGGCAAAGAATGTAAGAATTAGACAGGATTTTTTGTGTTATTGTATTTATTATTCCATTAGCAGTATACAATGGAATACAATTATTCCACTGTATTCCATTGCTTTTGTATATTGCTTAAAGTGCACTTGGCTGAAAAAGTTATAAATTAATAAATTATTAGTGCCCTTTAAACAAAATACTCCATCAACTGAGTGGGTGATTTAAAATATTATTGACACAGGAGCCAAGATACCAAATTTGGTTTGGTGACACTTCTGCATCTTGGTACAATGTAATTGAAGTCCCAAAGGTGCTTTCCAAAAGACAACTAAACTTTTTTTTTGTCCAGAGGGGATATTGGTGTGAAAGAGGGGTAAAAGACCATCTATGTTAAAATTGAACACTCCCCTCTCAATAGAGGGGGAGGGTTACAACACCATCTTTCTCCTGGGAACAACAAAGTCCTTTCAGTCCTTGTTCTAAGAAGGTTCCACACCTATTTGCACTATGATTCAGGTTGCCCTGTGGATACAAATAAACCCCCAAGTGGCCTCAACCACTCTCAGAGAACTAACCACCGACTTCAGAGTGCCAACGACCACATAACTGCAAAGAATACAAATCATTCCCCAGTCAAAATAGAAGATGCTTCTTGGAGGAGAAATGAAACGTCTTCAAGGAAAAAACAAAGACTGGTTGCCGTTTGGAAAGCACCTTTGGGACAACCATGAACTGGATGACTGAGAATCTCCATAGATACCTAACTGGAGTCCAAATTATGGGTGCGAATCTCAGGATGCACGTTGGTCTTAATTTAGAAAGGGTTCCAGCCCCCCCTCCGAAAGGATGACACTGCTAACCTAAGATTATTTCACATCAGTACTGAACTTCTCTCCCTGCCTAGAATGCGAATCTTTCGCTTTGGTTTGCACCGCCTTTTGCGGAGGTTCATCGGCTGTGTCACGCCCCTTGCCGCTTTTGCGCGCGTGCGCGGAGTGTCCAATTCCTTACGCCCAAGGAGTCGATCAGCTGCGATGGAGAACGCGGGGGCAACGCCGCAAGGAACTGCGGGGCGCAAGAGGATCCCAAACCGGGAGAGGCCCTCGGTCGAGGATGAGGCCCTCAACTTGATTGCTCGCGAGGTACGGTAGCATCAGATCTGGGCGGTTTCATCCTTTCCCTTCCTCTTTCGTACTTGGGAGCTTCCCCGCCTTGGCTTCTCTTGGTTTGCTAGAGGGCCTTGCCTCCGCCGAAGGCGCCTGTGGCAGACGGGACTGGACGGTGGCCTCCCTTTCCACTGGGTCCGGTTGTCACTTCCTCCATCACGTCCCTTCTCGTAGGTTTCTGCTTCGCTGCGTCGTCTCTTTTTCTGAACTTCCGGGCGCCACGGGGGAGGGAGAACGGAGCAGGCGGGCAGTTCGCCTCCTTTTAGTTTCATCAGCAAAGACTTGTGCGCTTGTTTAACTCTCTTCTTGAAATTAACGAGAAGTCGTGTTAACACGATCAAGTTGTTGCGAGTGAAAGAATGTGTGTGTTTTATACCCATATGTCCGAATTACCTTTGGCTTCCTCCATTGTGAGTTGTCCTTGTATGTACTTTTTGCAGTTTAAGATGTTTTTTCTCCATTTGTAATTTATATTTTCTATTTACTGTACCTGCATACGGTACATGCTGGTATGTTGGATTTTTGATTTTTTTAAAATCCCGCCTTTATTATTTTATAAGAAACTCAAGGTGTCAAACAAATATAATATTCCTTCCTATTCCCATTTTCCTCACAACAAAAACCTTGTGAGTTGTGTTGGAGAGAGTGACTGGCACAAGGTCACTCAGCCAGCTGTCATACCTATAGCAGGAGTAGAACCCACCATCTCCTGGTCTGTAGGCCAGCATATTTGCCACTATCACCAAAGAGAGTGATGAACCTGTTACTCTTTAAATTTCACAACCTTTATATTGTTCTGTGTTATAGTTATAGTGTTACCTGTATATCTAGTCTGAAAAGGAAATGGGAAAGCATTTATTCAGATGCTATGATCAACACAGTTTTACCATTGATTCTGGCATAGCTAAAAAAATAGAGTCACATGATATCAGCAAATCCAACTTTCTGATTAATGCAAGAATTAAAGTTTATTTATTTATTTATTTATGAGACTTATATACCGCTTTAAGTGCAAGCACTCTCTAAGCGGTGTACACCAGTAAGCAATGTATATATATATTTACATTGCCCCCAACAATCTGGGTCCTCATTTTACCTACCTCAGAAGGATGGAAGGCTGAGTCAACCTTGAGCCGGTGAGATTTGAACCACTGACCTGCTGAACACAGTCAGCTAAAGTGGCCTGCAGTACTGCACTCTAACTGCTGTGCCACCTCGGCTCCTTTAATGCATCCTTGATATCTTGCACTTTACCTGTTTCCCCAAATTTCTCAAAGACTTATGTATTCATTAGATGTATAGACTCAAAAGGGACATACAGGTTTTGTATATCGTTAGCATGTTCCTTTAGTACCTAGAGCAGCGGTTCTCAACCTATGGGTCGCGACCCCATTTGGGGTCGATCGACCATTTTTCGGGGGTCGCCAAAGGCGGCGATCCGCCATTTTGTCCCCTCCGGGGCCGGCATCCACGCATGCGCGCTGCGCATGGGGGCGGCGCTGCGCCTCTGGGGGCGCCGCCGCGCATGTGCGCCGCGCATGGGGGCGGTGGCGCGCTTCCGGGGGCGCCGCCGCGCATGCGCGCCACGCGTGGGGGCGGTGGCGCGCCTCCCAGGGGCGGTGCTGCGCATGCGCGCCATGCATGGGGCGGTGCCACGCATGCATGCATGCCGCGCATGGGGGCACCGCCGCACCGCGCATGCGCATAACATTTGTGTGACGGGGGTCGCCATCACACAAACGTTGAGAACCGCTGACCTAGAGTGAACTTATTTTGCCTTGGAGATTCATCTTGTGTTTAACTACAGTGGATATAAAAAGTCTTCATATGGCTTCCAAGAGGCCTACAGCAACATGAAAGGATTTGAAGGAATTTCTGGCAAGTACTGGTTGTGTACTACATATGACAACAATCTACCATAGTCTTCATATATCTGGGCTGAGACTTCCGGTGGATTTGCCGCGCGATGGCGGCTACTTTGTAGCCGTCCTCCTGGGTAAGTGTAAGAACCGCTATGAACAGCAGACATCAGCTGTTCAGCGGTTCAAAAACCCCTCCCGGGCAAAGGGGGGGGCAGAGAGTTGTCTGAATAGTGGTAGAGCCTCTTATGCACCCCCCAAGTTTTTCTTTTGGGGGGTGAAAAGAGTGCTCCCACGGAGTTCAGACTTGTCTCCGCTTCCCAGCTGTTTTTGTCCTTAGGGACAAAACGAGCCGCTGCAACCACCTCCGTGATTAAAGAGAACTGGTGAGTTTTTTTTATAAACGGACAGAGCTGAGTAGAGGATTTAGTTTTTGCTTTCTTTGATTTATTTGGATTTTAAGTTTCAAGACTTGTTTTTACTTTTATACTCCCTCTTTTTATTTTTTTTCCCCTTTGTTGAAAAGGAAAATAAAATGGCAATCGGCAAGCCTCTCGGTGTTTTTTTTTCCGGAAGTTAGAATGGTGACCGGCAGCTTTTTGGTGTTTCTTTTTTTCCCTTTCCTTTTTTCTTTTTTGTTTTTTTTATGATTGGAATAGAGTGTTAGTATTATTATTTTTGTTTAATTTTCGTGTTTTGTATTTTGTACTTTTCGGTACTTTTAAAAAAATGGAATGGATTTTTTCTATTTAATTATTTTTTTTCTTCTCCTCCTTTTTCTTTTTTTTTTTTTTGAACTCCCTTCTTTTTAATAATGATCCCTCTTGAAGGATTTTTTTTTTTTTGAATTTAGGGAGTTAATTTCTTATTTTTTTTTGCTTAATTTTTGCAATTTTTAAGAAGGAGTAAAGTTTTTTTAAGATGGCCCCAAAGCGTCCAGTAATCTCTACAGCTTCCAAGGTGGCTTCTTCTTCGGTGTTATCGTCAGGGCAACAACCTAAATTAATAGGTTCACCTTCTTCCTTGCCACAGTCAACAATGGTGAAGGACTTGCAAGATATGATACTTCAAATTAGGGGAGAAATGAAAGAGATTTTAGAGGAAAATAATAAGACTTTGAGGCAAGAGATAGTTTTGACTTTAAAAGGAGTTGCCTCTGTTCTTGAAAAGTTGAACTCTCGCGTAGAAGAGGTAGTAGAAAAAGTGGAATTGATGGAGGAAAAATTTGAAAGTATGGAAAAAGAGATGAAAAACTTTCAAGATGAAATTCTTATGCTTCAATATAAACAAATGGAATATGCCTTAAGAATCAGAGGTTTACATGAGTCTGTGCAAGGAGATTTGAGACAGATGGTGGCAAAGGACTTTGCTGTGATTCTGAACAGAGAAGAAGAGGAAATACTTAGTGGAATTGATCAGACATTTAGAGTTAACTCTGTGGTGGCAGAGCAAAAGAATTTGCCAAGAGATGTGGTAATTTACTTTGGGAAAAGATCCCTGCGCAATGAAATTATACAAGCTTTTTATAAGAAGAGGTTTCAAATTGCTTCACAAGATGTTATAATTTTAAAGGAGATCCCACCAAAAATTTTAAGAAGAAGAAAGGAGTTTGCTTTTTTAGCAGATGAACTTAAAAGGAGACAAATTTTGTTTAGATGGGATGTTCCGACTGGAATGGTGGTGAGCTACCTGGGGATACGTTATAGTCTTAATACTGTTTCTAAAGCAAAAGATTTTTATACTTCAGTCCTGGGGGTATGCTCATCGTCACCTATCATGTTTAAAGCTTTGGAAGAAAAAAAGGCAGAACTGCAGTCAGAAGTGCTAAGAATTATGAAAATTGGGAAACTTCAGTTTGAGGGGCCTCAACAAGTAGAGATGGAGGAGCAGAAGACAACCTGTGTAACATATAATTGTAAAGAAAAGGATCAACAGAAGAAGTTTAAGGAAGTTCCACAAGTATTGGTTCCTGAATCTGCGGGAGAAGTAGGATTTATAAATTTTTTGGAGCAATCTTTAATGCCAGAACTGCAGTCTGAAGAGCCTATATTAATTAAAAATGGGAGGCCTCAACAAGTAGAGATGGAGGAGCAGAAGATAACCTGTGCAACATATAACTGTAAAGAAAAGGATCAACAGAAGAAGCTCAAGGAAGTTCCACAAGAGATGAAAGACCAGAAGACAACTTGTCCAACATATAAACGTATAGAAAAGGAGGTTGAGGAAACCTCACAGGTATTGGTTCCTGAGACTTGTGCAACATATAAATGTAAAGAAAAAGCAACATGTAAACGTAAAGAGAAAGACCAACAGAAGAAGGAGGTTGAGGAAGTTTCACAGGTATTGGTTCCTGAGTTTGTGGGAGAACCAGGACTTACAAATTTTTTGGAGCGATCTTCAAGGGCAGATTTTAATGCATTTCTTTCGATGCTTATGGGCAAGAGAGACTGATAAGGATTGTGTTTATAGTGGACGCAACCGGCTATTGGACAGAAGATTATGGAGACTGAATGAAAATTTTAGATAAGAAGTTTAAGTTTAAGTATTTTGTTTAGGTATTTAGAAGATTATTGAGATTGCGGGAGAAGTAAAATTTATAATGTTTTTGGAAAATGTCTTAAGTAATGTTTAAATATGTGTTCTGAGATAATAATATGTATGACATGAAAAGGTTTAGAGTATATTATAAAATGATGGATAATAATATAAATGATATGAAAAGGGTTTAGAGTATACTATAGTTTGTTTAAAGATTGGTTTCTTTTCTTTTTTTTATTATTATTATTATTCTTAAGAGAAATTAATTTGTTTAATTAAATTTTAGATAAGAAGTTTAGATATAAGTATTTAGTTTAACTAATTAAATGAGTATCCAGTCCTAATGGTATAATGAATGTTCATATGCTTATTTTTGTGTTTTAGAGTAAAGAAAGAGGGAGATTAGATTAGATTTTATAGTGTAGGTATAGATATTTAAAGAAAGTAATGTTCAAATTGGTGTTTTGGTGATTCTTTATAGAATGATGGGTAATAATATAACTACAATATTAGAAAAGGTTTAGAGTATATCAAAATATGTGTTTAAAGCTTGTAATTATTATCTTTTAGAGAAGACAA